TGGTGGTGCTCGCCTGTGGTTCCAGTTACTTGGAAGGCTGAGGCGGAAGGATCGCTTGAGGCTGCCAGCCTGGGCAACAGAGTGAGACTCTGACTCCAAAAAAAAAAAAAAAAAGAAAAGAAAGAAACGGTGGGAGAAGAGAGAGAAGTCAGGCGATCCGGGCTTCGAGGACTGGAGGGAAAACAAGGTTCAAGACACATATGAAAAACAAAATCGTGTTACAGAAGTTCAATTTACAAGCGACAGTTTAGGGGCAGTCATGCCACACGGCTCCAGATGCGAGTCCGCCGCCTTCCGCGAACTAGGGAGGCAGCTGCCGGGGCGCGCCCGGGCCTGGTCCAGGCGCAAGCGCAGTCGGGAGCCGGACTCGGCGTCTCCCCCTCCCCCACCCCCACTCTGCCGGGACTACCACTCCCAGGATGCCGCGGACCAGAAAACAGGACGCCTGCGCAGACGTGGTGGCGACTCGGCGTCTCGCCAGGTGGGGGCGCTGCGGGCTGAGCCCCGAGCGAGCCGAGGCCGCCTGTGCCGCACGTCCTGCCCGCTGGGAGAGCGGGGCTGCGGGCGGAGGTCTGCGGCCCGGGGTGGGAACGCTTGAGTCCGCGGCTCCGATCCCCAGCTCGTCCCAGTGGCTTGTGGGACCCGAGCTCCCACCTCTTCCAGGTGGCAAAGCTGTCACGTCCTCCTGGCGCGGACGCACCGAGCCGTCTTCAGGAACACACAGCTCTCAGAACCCCACATCCCGCTGCCGGTGGTTCCCCGCATCCGGTGTCCGCCCCCGTAGCCCCCCTCCCACACCGCCCCAGCTGCCTGCCTCTAACCACGACCTGAGCAGGCCCAGGTTGGCGCCCTCGGAGGTCCGGGGACCCCGGGGCATTTGGGCTTTGGGGGGAAACCGCCAGGCCGGAATCGGACGCGGGATTCCCTCCTCGATGGTTTTCTCTGGCAGTCTAAGGGGGAAGAGCAGAAGTGTGGAAGTTAAAGCCTCAGCTTCCCTCTTCTTCGGCCCCTCAAACCTCAGAAAGGTCTGGCTGTACAGAGGCCCTACGGGGCGATGGCTTAGACCTCAGGCTCAGGGTCAGATTTCTTTTTCTTTTCTTTTTTTTTGAGTTGGAGTCTCACTCGGCCGCCCAGACTGGAGGGCAGTGGCCGCTCCCG